TCTTACAAACTATGGATTATAAAATTAAACCTATGGTTATTTCGAGGGTGCTCCGCGGAACATCCTCCCCCCGTTGAGAGTACAACGATCAAGTGAATATACATATAATATTTAAGATGACAACTTAAATCTAAACTAAGATAGTAATTAATAGAAAATGTATAGGGACTAGATTAGGGAGATGAGTGTTCTCCCTTGGTAGCTGGTTCCTCCGAGTCTTCTTCTTTGGCTTCAATGGGCAGCGGTGCGAGTTTTTTCACGCTCCGGACCAACACGTTCGTAGCGGTTTTAATCGTGACGGTACGAACAATGCCGTCGGAGCCTGGGTGCACTTGGGTGACTCTTCCCAGAGCCCACTGCATCGGGGGTATGTTGTCTTCTCTCAGGAGGACGATCGTGCCTTCTGTGATGGTGTGACTGCCGCTGGACCATTTGCTGCGGGTGACCAGCTCGTTCAAGTATTCCCGATGCCATCGGGCCCAGAAGTGTTGTTTTACCTTCTGGATCTGCTGCCAACTGGAGAGTCGGTTTGCTGGAACATCCCTGAAATCACGCTCACGTAGACTCGTAAGTGAATCGCCAATCAGGAAGTGTCCGGGTGTAAGTACGAGGAGGTCATTAGGATCAGATGAGATAGGAGTGAGAGGTCGGGAATTCAGGATGGATTCAATTTCTATTATAAGGGTATTAAAGCTCTCGAAGGTGAACAACTCAGCACCTGCGACGCGTTTGAGGTGATATTTAAACGACTTTACCGCGGCCTCCCAAAGACCGCCAAAGTGAGGAGCTTGTGGTGGAATGAAATGCCATTCGATCAATCGATCAGACAGAAAGGCTTGTACCCTGTTGTTGTGGTCATCAGAGCGCAGGAGGTCGCGCAGTTCACGTAGCTCGTTGTTCGCCCCGACGAAGTTCGTTCCGTTGTCCGAGTGTAGGCTGATGCAGAATCCTCGACGGGCGATGAATCTTCGGAGCGCGGCGATGAAGCCTTCACTTGTGAGATCACTCACGACTTCGAGGTGGACCGCCTTTACCGCGAGGCACACGAAAACCGCGATGTAGATCTTTACTCTGTTTCGGTTTCGGAGTTTTTTTTCTTTTATAAAGAATGGCCCGCAGTAATCCACCCCTGTATGAGTAAATGGGCGTGATTCAGTGACCCTTGCTGCCGGTAGGTTGCCCATGACGTAGTCAGTCGGCGGTGGCTGCGCTCGGTAACACCGGACGCAATCCTTGACCGCCTTCCAAACTTGACTGCGGCCGTCGATAGGCCAGTATCTTTGTCTCACGGCGTACAATGTGGCCTGAACTCCGGCGTGCAGGTGGATTCGATGCTCGTTCTCTATTATTAGCTTCGTGACGGATGATTTCGGCAGGATCACTGGATGTTTTTTCGAGAATGGTATTGCCGAGTGTTTTAGGCGTCCGCCGACGCGCAGCACTCCGTCCTGGTCCACGAATGGATTTAAGCGCTGTAGCTTCCCCTTTATGCAGCAGCTCTTCTCCTTGGCGAGGCATCGTAATTCTTCCGGAAAGTGAAGACCTTGAATTAATCTTACGATTGCGTTGTGAGCTTGACGAAGTTCTGTGGCTGTAAGCGCTCCCTTTTGAGTGTTGCAGCGTTTCCATCTCAAACAGAGCGCGACGATCCTTTGGAGTCTTCCCCATGACGAGTATCTTTCTAACAGGCTCGTGTCGATGGGTGCAGTTGTTAAACACACTACCGTCTTTTGTTCCAGATCTGTAGTTGGTCGTTTTATCTCCCACGTGGGCCAGTGAAGTTCCTCTCCTTTAAGCCAATCTGGTCCTTGCTGCCAGATTGATGGTTTCAGAAATTCAACCGCTGACTGACCTCGTGTGATCAGATCCGCTGGATTGTCTTCGGTCCTCACATGACGCCAATCTGTAATGTTGGTTTTTGTCTGGATTTCTGAGATTCTATTAGCGACAAAGGTTTTTAACGAATGTGGAGATGTGTTGATCCAATGGAGGACTATCGTGGAGTCGGTCCAGAAGATGCTGCGGTTGATTTTTACGTGAAGTGCCTTCTGAACGGTTGTAGCTAGGGATGAGAGGAGCAGTGCTCCGCACAATTCGAGACGTGGAATCGTTTGAGTTTTTATGGGCGCTACCTTGGATTTTGCCAGGAGAAGTTCAACCTGGATGTTACCACGCGTATCGATGGACCGGAGATAAATGCAGGCGCCGTATGCCTTCTCACTGGCGTCACAGAATCCATGTAATTCCATGATTGTTGGTAATTCAATGGTGGTCATTCGTTTGAATGTGGCGTTGTTCAGGAGCGGCAGTTGAGTGTAGTAGTTCGTCCACTCAGTATGGATAAGAGACTCGTCCCAGTCAATCTTCATGGTCCAGATCTGTTGAAGCAACAGCTTTGCGAGGATGATGACTGGTCCAAGGAGTCCTAATGGGTCGTAAATTTTTGCTATCTCTGAACTGATGGATCGCTTCGTTATACGGGTTGTGTCGGCGGTGGCTGATACTGCGTAACCAATACTGTCGTCGGACGAATTCCAGTAAATTCCAAGTGTTTTGACGGTGGAAGATTCGCCTAGATGGAGCTTGCTGTTAATGTGATCCTCTGATAGTCCTTGGAGTAATCGTCTGTCGTTCGACGCCCATTGACGAATTTTCATACCTGCGAGTGTTAATAGACGGGTGAGATTTTTACGTAAGACTAGCCCTTCTTCAATGGTTGAGGTTCCGGTGAGAGCATCATCTACGTAAAAATCCCTTTTTAATATTGTGGAGGCGTGGGGAAATCGGTGTCCCTCGTCTTCGGCTAGTTGCTTGAGGCAACGTATAGCGAGAAATGGAGCGGCGGATAATCCAAACGTGACGGTGTTGAGTTGGTACGCGGCGATCTCTCCGTTAGGATCACGCCATAGGACGCGTTGGTACCTACGGTCTTCGGGGCATACCATGATCTGTCTATACATCTTCTCGATATCTCCCGTAAGGACATACTGATGTATGCGAAATCGAAGAAGAATGTATAGCAAATCATCTTGTATTTTTGGTCCTGTGTGGAGTGCGTCGTTAAGTGAGATGCCGGTGGTGGTTTCTGCCGAACCGTCGAATACCACTCGGAGTTTTGTCGTTTGGCTCGTGATTTTTTTTACTCCGTGGTGTGGCAAATAAAATCCGTTGGTTGTTTGATCGGTTCCAACCTTTGACATGTGTCCGAGATCGATGTATTCTTGCATCACCTCGTGATACTGTTGTTTTGTCTCTGGTTCCTGTTGAAGCTTCCGTTCTAATGAGAGGAATCTTTTGGTAGCTCTGGACTTCGATTCTCCAAGTTGTTGTTCCCTTCCGTTGAAAGGCAGTGCCACGACATATCGTCCTTCTGCATCTCGTTTCGTGTTTTTGCAGAAATGCGTCTCACAGGCCTCTTCAGATTTGGAAAGACGCTGGACCTGTGGTCCTTCCTCGATCTCCCAAAATTTGGCAATGTCCGTTTGTAGTGCGGTGGTCGTGTGGCAAGACGTGCTGCGTGTTGGATTGGTGGCTGGTGTGCTCCCCCCGATTACCCATCCTAATCTTGTTTTTTGTAGGTATAGGTCGGGGCCATTCGGAGGAGAAATATTGATCTGTCCAATGCATAATAAAGACAGCGCGGTTCCGACACCTAGAAGAGCCTCGATCGGTGCTGGATGATAAAAATTCGGATCTGCTAGTTTGATGTTACGTGGTATTTTAAATGTGGAACGATCGATCGGTTGGCTTGGAATTAATGAAGCTATTTTAGGTAATGTTAAGAAGGTCATTGTCCGTTTGTAATGGCTGATGCGAGATACGATGGTAGCGTCGATGGCGTGTCTGGCCACGGTCGATAGAGTGTTGAGAGCACCGATTGGGACGAAACATTTCCTTTGAGGAACGCCGAGTCGTTTCGCGAGATTCTCCGTCATGAAATTTGTAGTCGCGCCCGTGTCGATTAAAGCGCGACAGCGGATCGGGTTTTGGTTCTTGTCTAAAATGTTAATTTCTGCTGTGACGAGGAGATCGTTTGTAATCGAATCGACGATAAAGATGTTGTGGTGTTTCGTGCCAGTTGGAGTCTCGGTTTGCTCTAGTCATTTTGATGTCCGTGGTTGAGAGGCTGCCGTTTCCATGTTCTGCCATGGTGATACTGGTACTTGGGAGACGCCAGATTCCATGCTTTGCCATGATGATGTTGGTGCTGGTGCTGGTCGGTTCGTATTGTACTGCGGATGTTCTGGATGATGCAATAGGGTGTGATGACGTTTATGGCAGACACGGCACGATCCGGACCAACAGAACTTTGGTGTGTGTCCCCCTTTCAGGCAATTAATGCAGAGAGACGCGTTTTCAACAGCGGTTATGCGTTCTTTCGCGGATTTTGCTTGAAATTCGCCACAGGCCCAAATTCCGTGTCCACCCTGGCATATGGGACATTGTTGCGCATCCGAGCTTAAGAAGGCGTGTCCTCGTATTGGCCCTGACCGTCTTATTCGCGGACTCTCCGGTCTTGATGGTCTTGCGGGTGCTGGTGACGATGCTGGAGCACAGTTTGCGCGTTTTTCCAGGAACTCGAGAAGGTCAGTGTATAGGGGCATTCTTTTCCTGTCTGTTAACGTGAGCTCCCAAAGCCATGCGATGTCAGAGCTCACCTTGGAGAGGATGATGGAGACTGACATACTGTTCCACGAGGAGACGGATTCTCCTAAATTTTTCAAGGCGCGCAGATGTTGGCGTATGGTATCTACGAGGTTTCCTAATGCTTCCGGCGAATCTTTGGAGAGTTTTGGTATGTTTTGTAGCGCGTCGCAGTGTCCTAATATTATGCGCCGCGTGCAATCGAATTTTTCTTTTAATAATTCGACGGCGTCAGTGTAGTTCGCGTCGGTGGTACTTAACGACTGTATGCACGCGGCCGCTTTATCCGTTAATGTCGATCGCAAATATTGCAATTTTTGTACCGGCGTTAAGTTATCGTTTCGATCGATCATTGATGAAAATATGTCGAAAAATGATGCCCACTTCTCGATCGTTCCGTCGAACGTAGGTAGACGCATCTCTGGTAATCTTATTGTCATTGGGGCCGATACTGTTAGTGCGGGTGATGCGATTGTGCCGCGGACCGTCGGATCGTTGCCATACATCATTTTGTTCGCTAGTGCAACCGCGGCGTAATAGTCGTTTGATATTGTGTATCGACGCGCTTCCTCGGATTCGTCGAGTTCTTCTATATTGAACTGTGTCTCATCGAATCGTTTCCAAACCTCGTTCAACCCATTGAGATGGGCTTGGAGCAGGTGTATGTCGCGTTGACCGGGTTCGCGTTGTGTGTCGAGGAATTTGGTAAACGATGTAATTTGTCCGATAATATTACCCCGTTTGCGTCGCAGGGTACTGATATTGAGATTATGAGTTGCAGGCTGGGATTGTTCAGAGGTGTTTGCCATGGTGGTTAGGAATATGAGGTTAATTATATGAAAATTGGCGAATCAAAACGAGTCTACCTTGCGTTGTGATGAAGCCGTGATTCCCTCGTTTCTTATCTTCGACGTCTCTCGGCGGCGGATGCTGCAGCTGATACTGCGGCTGATGCTGCGACTGGGATGGTTGCGGCTGATGTATTTGAGCGTCAGCACGATCTCTTCTCGGTTCTGGATCTGTCACGTGTCGAGATTCGAACGAGCACTATCACTGGCGTTTTATTTAATATCTTCGGACTCACGATCACTGAATCCGGCTCGAAGGACCAATG